TGCAGATGACAGATGACAAACTCAAGCCTTCTTTTTTGAGAGCTCTGAAGATTAACGTTAATAATCCCCTAAAATCAATTTTCTCGGATTTAAACATTGGTTGAAACATTCGTAATATTGTAAGTTATCATCTTAACTAAATATATAACACTAGGTTTGTGATTTTGGGATATTTTAATGCAAAAATCTTAGGTATTCCACCTTTAACACATTACTTAAAAGCACTAAGTCAGATTTCTAACATTTGATCTATATGAACAAAAGTGTTACTTGTGACCCCTTTATTGTACACTCTAAACCAGTGATTCCCAAACTGTGGTGCGCGGACCACTAGTGGTCCATGAGGGTACTGCAGGAGGTCCGTGAAAAGGCAAAATAATAATAATAAAAAAAAATACCAAGAAATTCCTATTAAAACAAAAGTAAAAAGAATATGTAGGCCTATATTTATATAAAATGTAAATTAAATTGTCAAGCTATTGTGTGATTACTAAAATAGGCTAGTGGCGCTCAGCCATGACGTTCAAGCTCCGTTTCGTCAGATGTGCAGATGACAGATGACAAACTCAAGCCTACTTTTTTGAGAGCTCTGAAGATTAACGTTAATAATCCCCTAAAATCTATTTTCTCGCGATTTAAACATTGGTTGAAACATTCGTAATATTGTAAGTTATCATCTTAACTAAATATATACCACTAGGCTTGTGATTTTGGGATATTTTAATGCAAAAATCTTAGGTATTCCACCTTTAACACATTACTTAAAAGCACTAAGTCAGATTTCTAACATTTGATCTATATGAACAAAAGTGTTACTTGTGACCCCTTTATTGTACACTCTAAACCAGTGATTCCCAAACTGTGGTCCGCGGACCACTAGTGGTCCATGAGGGTACTGCAGGAGGTCCGTGAAAAGGCAAAATAATAATAAAAAAAATAAAAATACCAAGAAATTCCTATTAAAACAAAAGTAAAAAGAATATGTAGGCCTATATTTATATAAAATGTAAATTAAATTGTCAAGCTATTGTGTGATTACTAAAATAGGCTAGTGGCGCTCAGCCATGACGTTCAAGCTCTGTGTCGTCAGATGTGCAGATGACAGATGACAAACTCAAGCCTACTTTTTTGAGAGCTCTGAAGATTAACGTTAATAATCCCCTAAAATCTATTTTCTCGGATTTAAACATTGTTTGAAACATTCGGAATATTGTAAGTTATCATCTTAACTAAATACATAACACTAGGTTTGTGATTTTGGGATATTTTAATGCAAAAATCTTAGGTATTCCACCTTTAACACATTACTTAAAAGCACTAAGTCAGATTTCTAACATTTGATCTATATGAACAAAAGTGTTACTTGTGACCCCTTTATTGTACACTCTAAACCAGTGATTCCCAAACTGTGGTGCGCGGACCACTAGTGGTCCATGAGGGTACTGCAGGAGGTCCGTGAAAAGGCAAAATAATAATAATAAAAAAAAATACCAAGAAATTCCTATTAAAACAAAAGTAAAAAGAATATGTAGGCCTATATTTATATAAAATGTAAATTAAATTGTCAAGCTATTGTGTGATTACTAAAATAGGCTAGTGGCGCTCAGCCATGACGTTCAAGCTCCGTTTCGTCAGATGTGCAGATGACAGATGACAAACTCAAGCCTTCTTTTTTAAGAACTCTGAAGATTAACGTTAATAATCCCCTAAAATCTATTTTCTCGCGATTTAAACATTGGTTGAAACATTCGTAATATTGTAAGTTATCATCTTTACTAAATATATACCACTAGGCTTGTGATTTTGGGATATTTTAATGCAAAAATCTTACGTATTCCACCTTTAACATTACTTAAAAGCATATGTCCATATTTGACCCAAATTTGGATTGAAACAACCCAGCATTTTTTAGAGTGTAACATTATTTAAATGCATTGGCGTTTGTGTGCTCAGTGTGGATCTTCATCCATCATCATGTCTTGGGACATAATTAATAATCCGCTTCATTTATACAGTGTTTCACGCAATAGATGCATGCTAACTGCAGAAAGTGTTATCCAAGGTGTGTGTTTTATCAGCATGTGTGTTTCCTTGTGTTGGTTGTGTAATGTTCAACTAGACCGCTTTATTGAACCACATCCGCACGTGACTTACACTATGTCAACTAGTTTTCCGTGTGGTTTTGGATGCGTAGCGAGAGCCACGACACACTCCACTTAGACACCTAACTACGCATTCATCTTTCTTCGCCCTTCATGCTTTAATATTTCATCCCTCACATCACAATGTCTTCTGTTCTCCTGCAACGGTTCTGTTCTTAAATCTGGACCGTCCCTGCAAACCCTCCTTCATAAATAATACCTGCACACACACAGCCTTTCGCCCTCACCTCATCTCCGTCTCCTGCTGATTATTGGCTCCATTTGATGTTAAATCTGCATGTTATTCGCTGGGTTCAACGGCCTCGGGGACTGTGGGAGGACGAGTCGTCTCCGCAGCGGATCTGTTCAGATATTTGCTGAGTCGTGCTCTGGGTTTGTGGCCTGAAAATGTCTTCCAGATTAAAACTTGGATGAACTGGTTGACATTGTTCCTTTTGAACGGGTTCACGTTTCTGTTTGTTCGATTGTGACTCATTATTCTGCTGAATTATTTTGTGGTTGGTATAATTATGTTTTTTTAATGCTTGCACAAATAAGTTGTCTCTTGTCTTTTGGAGAAACACTAAGAGGGGAAATTAGTTGATATTAGGGATGCACGATATATCGGTTATCCATCGATATTAGAGATTTATTTTTCATTTAGGCTAGCAATATTGACTGCTGGATATTGGATGTATAATATATTGGATATTTAATCATTTTGTCTTTGTTTCCGATCTTTTAAAATGACTTTTACATTAAAATTCTAGGGCTGTCAAATGATTAATCGCGATTAATCGCATCCAAAATTAAAGTTTGTGTTTACATAATATATGTGGGTGCACTGTGTATAATTATTTTGTATATATATATAAATACACACACACACACACGCATGTATATTTAAGAAAAAAATATTATTTATATATAATAAAATATTTATATATTTATTACATATTATATATAAATCAGTATGTACATGAAAATATTTCTTAAATATATACAAGCATGTGTGTATTTATTTCTATAAAATAATTATACACAGTGCACCCACATATATTATGTAAACACAAACTTTTATTTTGGATGCGATTAATTAAAATTTATTATGTATTTTTGTTTTCTTATTCTGCACAATTCATATATACACAGTACATATACACACACACTACATAATTGTGCCTTTATTTCTAGTAAAATTATTATGACTCAACTTTTTGACTATATTTCACAAATATATATATATACAATCTGAATTGTGACTTTCTATCTATTTCTTACAACTGAGACTTTATTTTTCAATACTGTGAATTTATTTCTCATAATATCTTATATATATAAAGAGAAGTTGCTCTTTTCATGTAGCCTGACGTCATCTGAATGAAACCCTTTACTTCCAAATGTTTGTTGTACAGAATTGAGACTTTCCCAATCCAGTCGGTTCTTGTGGATTAAAATGTGGGTTTTTTTTTTTTCTGATTGCGTACTTGGAAATACATCAGATTAGGGATGAAAGTTGAAACGTGAAAAACGACAGATAAATAGATGGATGTATGGATGATAAAGCTAGATCAGTCATTCCTCTGGTAGACTGAAGCCGGCATAGCCTTGCATTCCTTCGGTGTGCGACCCCAATTTCTCCCATTTCTTCTCCATCATCAGCTGGCTTTGAAGCTCTTCCAGGGTGTGTGTGTGATGCCAAGCTGACTGTGGGTTATTCAGCTGTGCCCAGTTATGAGATTACATTGCTTCAGATGAGTTCAGTCAGGACACACGGTCACGCACAGAGAGATATTACAGTGACTGGCTGGTCATGTTATTTAGATTCATAAGCACTGTAAAAAATAAACCGTAAATTTTACGGTAAAAAAAAAAACGGCAGCTGTGGTTGCCAGAACTTTACCGTTAAAAATACGGTAGGAACGTTAATGGTTTTACAGACTTAACTTAAAATTTACAGTAATAAACCGTCATTTATTTTCTGATAAAATGTGGATTTACCAACTTATTGATGTATTGATATCTGTTTTGGACCATTGTAATATACTGACAACCAACAATCATCACAGCAGTGATGAGAGTTACAAGTGAATAATTGTATAAAGCAATACTTAATTAAAGAAGCTGCACAATGTCATTCACACAAACATTAAGCACCATCATGGTAACACACATGAAATTTAAAAAAATGCAATAAACATTAATTTAACAACATTAAATGTAACATATAACCCTAATGTAGATAACTGATTAGAAAAAAAAAACAATAAAACTATGAGGAACCGTAGTTATTTCAACAAAAATACATCAAATGTGAAGTGTCACACAGGGAATTGTGGGAATGTCAATTTACGTTTTTTCACTGTAAATTATACAATGATTTGTTCTTTTTCACTTTCAAAAACTTAAAATTAACGGTAAATTTAACGGTATTTTACTGTAAAATTATATCACAGTTATTTACCGTGTATAGTATGGAAACTTTCTGTTTACCAATTAACAGTTTTGCACTGTAGCATTTTTACAGTATTTTACCGTTAAAATCACGGTTATTTTTTACAGTGTGTGTTTTTTAATCATTCCAATCTAGCCCCGTTTTATTTGTTCTGGTACAAGACGGCTAATAAGCATAAGAACATACAGTATAACACCCACAAATATTAGGTAAAAATGACCTGTATTTGATTACATAAAATAAGCTATTATCTCATTCATTGCAATACTGAACATTCCTCCATTTCTTCTCTGGTTGTTTCGTGCCTGAAATCCTTCGCCTAAAGTCAGTTTTCTTTTACCGACAACAAGTCATGGATATTTAGAGATGCTGGTGACACTGATCGTAACTCTCTCTTCTCTTAGGACCCGGGCTACTGGATACAGGTCCATCGGTTAGAACATGGAGACGGGGGGATTTTGGACCTGGATGACGTGCTGTGTGATGTAGCCGACGACAAAGACCAGGTATGAAGTGTGCATGCTTATCTGTTCTTACTTTAGGAGAGACGCTGATCTCTACACTCAAAAAAATGAACTGGGAAGGTCGTGCACTTTACATAATATATTTAGTTTACTTATAATAATTGTGTTTTTTGACTTGAAATGTTTTTTTTTTCTTAAGGTCTATGTAGTAAAAAACTACCTATAAGTAAAAAACTCGTACATCCAGAGGGGGGCAGTATAGTGCGAGCCGACTGCCATTTTGCCTGAACTTAATTTGATCGTGTTGAATCTGTTTACGTAATCCGTTTGTGTTGGATTACATGATTGATTTGTGTCGCATTAACTGAAACTGGGTGGTGCTTTTAGTTTCCAGCATGCTTTGCATATGTTTGAATTAAGAGAGAATAAGTGTTAAAATTAAGTGTTATTTTACCTTTTTTTTTGTTGTTGAAAAATTTAGAAAAGGGGAAGACTTGATAGTTGTAATTGTGTTTAAAGTTAAATTATATTGGGATTATTAAACCATTTAAATTACAGTAGGTTACCCTTTTGTTTGGCCGACGACTGATTTAATTATTTTCTATTGCTTTGGTTGAGGGAGCATGTAAATCTTAGCATTTACGATGCAAATAGCTAGTTATAGTCTATCAATTTAAGTATGTATCACTGAAATAAATGAAATATAAATGGATGAATGAATATAAAATATATCATGCCAGGAAGCCTTTAAAAATTTACATTGAGACTACTCAAATTGGGTCACTTAAAATGACTTAATTCCATGATGTGGAAGTTACATAAACAAATTATGTTTGTTTAACGTAATCCAGTTATGTGGAACCTGATGACGAAAAAAATTAGGTAAAGCCAACATAACATTTTCTTGAGTGTTGTTATTAACTTCAACTTTCATTCCCAGTTTGAATATACCAAAATGGCAGATAATTATAATTATTAAAAATAATCATATCTGTGATGACAACTGGATCTTTCTGGCCTTGTGACGACAATGAGTGTGTTTGCGTGAACATTTTTAACCCGGTCATATAAATGCCTTAAGTTATTTTTATTCGGGTTTATATACTGTTTAAGCCGACAACTAGCCTATGTTTTTGGTATTTTGGTGGAGGTGTTTTTTGTGCAAGTCTATTTATGCTTCAAATGATTTCAAAATATCACGAATGCGATCTTGCATTGTTCAAGCTAATTTTAGATGGTTATCATCAGCATTTTGTTGTATATGTGATCAATCACTGTCGAATACTACCAACTCAATCACGTTAGAAATAGTTGTACATGATCTGGCGATTTCGTATGAATTCTTACGTGATTTTTCAATTTTTAGAAAACAAGCAAGCATGAATGTCCATCCCCAAACCTAGTTATGAAGCAGTTATCTATATTTATTTCATTATGTTTTACACACTATTTCAAAATAGGCTACTTGTTGGATATTAGACAATATACAGTATATATTTCACAGTATGCAGTGTGTTATCTGTTCAAGCGTAGTCTGTGGCTTGGTGAAAACGTGGCCTTTCTACATCCACCATGTTGTTTTTTTATGCAAGGCTTCCATGTATTTTGAATACAGATTGCCTGTGTTTATGATAAACTAGATGTCAAGATATCAGATATTCCAGATTAGTTTCCAAATCCCTTTAGCCGAGCGAGGGTGAGAAAAGGCAGAGGTCGTCCTCGCTTTGACTTGTTTTTCTCAACTGTTATTGTGGTTATCTTATCTGCATGTGCTTCGATTTCTTTCCCCCATGCTTGGGAATGGCCAGGAACATTGACTGTTTATTACTAGCAATACACTGAAATTTCGGTGACCGAAAAGGATTTTTTGGTTTCGGCTGGAACAGTTTTGTACGTCCGGAAAGGAGATGTTTAAAGGAGTAGTTCACTTTTAAAAAAAAACTTTTGCTGATAATTTACTCACCCCCATGTCATCCAAGATGTCCATGTCTTTCTTTCTTCAGTCGAAAAGAAATTAAGGTTTTTGATGAAAACATTCCAGGATTTTTCTCCATATAATGGACTTCAATGGGAACCAAACGGTTCAAAGTCCAAAAGAGAGTTTCAGTGCAAACTGTGCAAAGGGCTTTAAACGATTCCAGACGATGAATAAGGGTCTTATCAAGCGAAACGATCGCTCATTTAATAAATAAATAACAAAGTTTAAGTTTAAAAAAGTTTTAAGTTCAAATGCTCGCCTTGCTCTGTTCTGTGACGCTCGTTTGTGACTCTCCTGTTCGAACTCGTTTATCAAAATGAACGAATCTTTTTCCGAGTCATTTGATTCATTCAACGAATGAAACGAACAAATTGATTGGGAAAAGATTCGTTCATTTTGATGAACAGGTTCGAACAGGAGAGTCACAAACGAGTATCGCAGTACAGAGAAAGACCATTTGAGCTTATAAAACTTAAACTTTTTTTTTTTTTAAATGAGCGATCGTTTCGCTTGATAAGACCCTTATTCATCGTCTGGAGTCGTTTAAAGTCCTTTGAACAGTTTGAAAGTGTCTTTTGGACCTTGAACCGTTTGGTTCCCATTGAAGTCCATTGTTTGGAGAAAAATCCTGAAATGTTTTCATCAAAAACCTTAATTTCTTTTCGACTGAAGAGTAAATTATCAGCAAAAGTTTTTTCAAAAGTGAACTACTCCTTTAATTGCGTTTTGACTGATCCAGTGTCTATTTTGTGCACGCAAATCTATAACGGGTAAATATGTCAGATGTGTGGACAATAGAGCTGGGTTGACATTATCGATTTATCAAATGTATTTGATCTTCATTTGAATGAACTGAGATGTTTTAGTCTATGCATGAACAAAAATTCACTAAACAGTATTTGTAGCTACAGCGCCAACGGCACGTGAACTGATCATCTCTTTCTCTTTACAACTAGTTATGGCATGAAATAAATGAAATGTTAAAATGAATATTACAACTTACTGAGATGTATCATTTCTCAAATGTTGTTTCAATGTCATGTAATGTTACATTTACCTCAGGAAAGCCATTCAATGATAAATGAACTCTAGAGAAATAACTCTAGAGAGGAGCAATTTGCTAAAAATGTATTCATTCAGCTAAAGGAAAACATTAACTCACTAATCACTAATTTTTACCTATTCCTCTAATTTCCTGTGTGAGTCTGTGTGACTCACTTCATTGGGCAGACTTTAACTTGCCAGTTTCGGACCACCTCATGCTAAATAAATATTTTTTTTTTCTCAATGTTGCATTTTTCCTCCATGAAAAGCATCATGATTTGGTCATAGCAATGGAATGTGGGAAGTTTCCTCTTGTTCACCACATCGTCAATAATGGCTAATCTCAGTTCCACACACGAGATGTGTCCCTCTGGGGTGTTTATACTCGTAGTTTGTTCATTAGCATCACTGCTAATGTTGTCAAGCCCTGATAAATTGTGTTTAGCCAGCAAGCTAATTAGTCCGTCCGTTCCTGCTGGGCTCTGGTGACATCTCAATGCCTTCAGCCGCTTTTGTTCCTAGTGATTTATAATCATCCTCTCAGCATGACCACAATTGATAATCCATGTTAGCTCAATTAGTAAACAGCACACACACTGGCTACGCTTGCATTGTGCCAAATCCATACTATGAAGCTAATTAGCATTAGCATACAAGCACACCCTGATGAACCCAAGATCTGTGTTTTACAATGCTGAATACTAGGAATGCGTGATATTGGAAAGAAATGACATTGAAAACAACTTCACCAGATGACTCGAATAGCTCTGTTCGGGAAGAATTAATCGTTTTTGAATGATTGCATTTAAAATAAGAAGTGATACGAAAATTTGCCCTATAAATAATTTGCCCTATAAATAAAGCTGATAAATAATGTTTTATGTCCGAGATGCTTCAGATGTGCAATGTTTAATATGATGGCTTTGTATTGCTTGAAATATGATGCACTCTCAGGAAAAAAGGTCCAAAAGCTGTCACTGCAGCTGTACCTTTTCAAAAGGTACGCTTTTGTATCTAAAGGGGGCATATTGGTACCTTAATGGTACTTATTAGCACCTAAATGTCCATATTAGCACCTAAAATGTACATATTAGAACCTAAATGTACATATTAGCACCTAAAATGTACAAATTAGCAAATAAATGTCCATATTAGCACCTAAAATGTCCATATTAGCAAATAAATGTCCATATTACCACCTAAATATACACATTGGCACCTAAAATGTACATATTGACACCTAAATGTATTAGCACCTAAATGTGCATATTGGCACCTAAAATGTACATATTAGCACCTAAAATTTACAAATTAGCAAGTAAATGTCCATATTATTTTAACTGTCGCCTTGCTTTTGGCTTGCTTTGAGCTTGCTCAGTTGGGGTTATTTAGTGTTTAGCAATGTTGTTGATCTGTGTTGTGCTACTTTCATGTTATCACTGTGAAGCTGCTTTGATACAATCTGTATTGTGAAAAGCGCTATATAAATAAATGTGATCTGAAATGTGATCTGATATTAGCACCTAAAATGTACATATTAGCAAATAAATGTCCATATTAGCACCTTAATATACATATTGGCACCTAAATGTACATATTAGAACCTAAATGTACATATTAGCACCTTAATATACATATTGGCACCTATATTAGAACCTAAATGTACATATTAGCACCTAAAATGTACATATTAGCAAATAAATGTCCATATTAGCACCTAAATGTGCATATTAGCAAGTAAATGTCCATATTAGCACCTAAATGTGCATATTAGCAAGTAAATGTCCATATTAGCACCATATTGGAACCTAAAATGGACATATTAGCACCTAAAATGTACATGTTAGCAAGTAAATGTCCATATTACCACCTAAATATACACATTGGCACCTAAAATGTACATATTGACACCTAAATGTATTAGCACCTAAATGTGCATATTAGCACCTAAAATGTACATATTAGAACCTAAATGTACATATTAGCACCTAAAATTTACAAATTAGCAAGTAAATGTCCA